GGGGAATTTTATGTGTATTTACTATGAAAAACTCAAAGGGTGTACAGCAAAAGGTTAACAATGGGTCTCTCAGTGTTGGGCTTATCAGTGATTTTTCATTCTTATATTTTAATGTCATTTATGTGCATTTTCATTTTTTAAGTTTTTTATTGTTTATGCTATTAGAGTTGTCCCAATTTTCCCCTTTTGCCCCTAGTCCCCCTTTTCCCATAGTCAATCCCCACATCGTTGTCCACATAAAGGGCAAAACTTTAAATAAGATGAAATATATTAAACTGGAAATAAAATTTAAAACTAAGGAGGGCAGGAGAGTTGGTGAATAACTTGATAGGTGGTTTCATTTACTTTATATATTCTGTCATCTTTGCTACTTCCCCAGATACGTGCTTGGTATTATCTGCCAATCTACTGACCAGTAGAAGAAGGGGTGAAGGTTGCTGGTATTGAGCCAGACAATCTGTCTCCACAGAAAGGTTTCAACATTTCAGCACAGTCTCTCCTGGTTTCAAGTTTTAGTTGAATAGCTCAGCCACTATGGTGTGATCCTAAGAGACACTGAAATTTCAAGAGAGCTTAGAGGAGGACTATGATTTACCTAAATGTATCAGTCTTAGTCTTTCTACAACCAACTGTTCTGCCAGGTTTATGTGGAAGTACCTCTAAATGATGAATTTCCTTTCTCTCTCCTTTCTTTCCTTCCCTCCATCCTTTCTTTTCTCTCTGATTTATTTAGATACTGACACCTTTGTAGTCATTACTAAATGAATGAGCTCTTGTGGAGAGACTGGTTCGTAGCTAAGAATCAGCTTTTTCATTCCGTGAGCGAGGCAGAGAAAAGCAGAGTTGCCCCCTGGTCACTGGACAGTCAGTCAGTTGGAATCCAATTCTACTTCTTTTACCTAGTCTTAGTGAGAAGTCACCGTCATCCTCATTTTTAACAGTTAACTCTTACCAAGTGCTTACCACAGGCTACTCACCTCCTCCATATCCAAATAATCTAAATGATATGCTGGGCCCTTCAGTATAGGCAGCCACGATCAGAGAAAGAAAGCTCTGTAACAAGCAAGAATTTTTAAAATAACCACAAATTGTTGATGTTGAATGTTTTCTAAACAGCTTCTGAAGATTAAGTACAGAAAGCTACTTGTTTAAAGGTTACCAAGAAAAGAGCTTAGGTATTTATCAGATTCATGCCTGTGATTAAATTATCCCCTCTTAAAATCAGTACAGAATTTAGGGGGACCAAAGTTCCTGTTTCCACAGTACAATGAAAGGTTGCAAATGAAAGTTGCTGACAATTCTCAGTATAACATGGGGACTTTCTCTGACACCCAAATGTGAATTTGACTCAGACCGAGGTTATTAAAGACACTGTGTTGGTCTGGTTGCAGAAGGAATAGATTCCTAACTGGGCCAAATGTAGAGGCAATGTCCAGGGCCATGGTTGAGAAGCATTTTAGAGGGTGTCTGATACACCCTCTCTTGGAGAGCTCATCTGTAGCCATGGCTGTATTTATTACCTATAAACTGAAAAAGACACCCAGGTCACCATCACCTGTCTCAACTTTTCTCTGTACCTCCTCCTCATATCTCCAACTACCTGTTGTATCTTTCCTCTTTGATGTTCTCTGCATCCTTGATATTTCAAGCAGAGTCATTCATCCCCTTTGACAAGCCTACAACCTAGTCTGAATGGCCTGCATGTCCTTGGCAGCAGGGTTCTCTGCAACATTCTCTCTCGTAAGCTCATAGTCACCACTCATCCCCTTCCTCTCTTTCTTGCACTCCACTGAGCTTTATTTAATTTTAGTTCTTCACAGACTCTCACTTTTACTTCTTTCCCTGACCTCCCTTACTGCACCCAGATTCTTTCTTACCTACAGTGTTGAGATAAGATAACCTTGTCACACTTGTTTCCTGCCTGGAGCTCTCCCCTGTTCCAGTATAATTCACAGCCCACAGAAATAGCCTGAGACCAACTGAGAATGATTGAATCCAGCTTGTTAGGTTAAATGTGGGGCCAAGAATAGGTTCTAAAAAGCTTAAACCAAAGGTTTTATGGGAATTCTTCCCCTACATGTTAAGCGAAGGAGGAATTGGACTATTTCTTGGGTCTAAGAAAACAGCTATTGAGTGGACAGTAAGAGGGAGCAAATTTTAGACCCATGTTAAAAGAGCCTTTCATGGCTTCAAGCTGTCATCCAGTGGAAGAGTACTAGCAGTAGATGAAAGTGGGTTCCCTGTCCCAGATGATCACTTCTCAGGGATGATGAAGCAGGCTTACAAGCTTGACCATACGTGTCTTTTCAAGCTCCCTATTTTTGCAACGTAATCACAGCCCTCTCCATCCCCCCTCTGCCTCCCTACTGGTAATATTTGTTCTGGATGCTTCCTGCTTCCATCATTCCCAATCCTACAGTGGATGATGAACGTGCTCTCCTTCCCCAGGCAGATGCTCCCCTGCTCACTCCATCCTATGGCTTTTCCATCCAGGTTAGTGCCACCTTGGGCTCTTAAGTAACCTGGAGGCTGAATTTGGTTATTGATTCCTTTTTTGTGCTAGGTTCTGAGCCCAGATTTTTTTCTAATTTGGTTGGTAGAGTAACTCTGTGAAATACTATAGTTTCTTTTTAATTCAATTTTAAATAAGGAGAAATGCAATTATCATTTAAATAATGAGTGTCAAAGCTGGGATTGAACCAAGGTTTTCTAACTCCAAGGTTTGTATATTGGAGAAAAGAAACAAAAGAGTAAAGGGGAGGGTAAGAGTAAAGGGGCCCTCAACCCTGGACCATGGATTTGTGAGATAGGGAGGGCGTTCGTTCATAGGGAATACTACAAACTGAAAAAGTACAACTGGCATTTTTTATCTCAGTAAGTATTTAACTACATGTGTTGCCAGCAAAATTTGTAAACTCAGATGTTTGAAATAGTTACTGGGGGAATAACTGAGAAAAGAGGAAACTAATATATTTGATTAAAACATAACAGAACACTAATTACAGTGCACTTTTATCATATGCCTAGTCATTATGTAAAATAGTAACAAGTGTTCAAGTATTTTCAATGTGTGTTAGATTAACATTCATAAGTTATTTTAAATTTTATCACCACGTTTTAATGCACCTAGCTTTCATGTAGTATGCTGTCTAATCACAACTTTTTTAAAAAATCAGAATGCTAATAGTGAAGTACTAATAGGAGGTAATGGATGTGGACATGCCTAGCCCTCTGTGTTGTACATAATAAATGTTTATTGGATCTGAGTCTAGCATTTGCACCAAGAATGAGGTGAAAGGTCATGTCATTATTTTATTTTATTCCCTAATATAAGTAACCATGAAAATTTTTGAAAGCATATACCCTTTGATACGATTCCACTTTTAGAATTCTGTATTCACACTAATTTAATCAGTCCCATGTTGTTTATGACCCAGTATTTGTAAGCTGAAAATTAGAGAAATTAGAAAAAACACTAATGAGTTACTACTATGTGCCAAACACTTTAGGTTTATGTGCTTAAACTTTAGTTAATACTGAGAAGTAGATATGTTACCTCTCTTTTAGTAATAAGAAAAGTAAGGCTGATAGAGACCAACTATCCCAACTATCTTGTACAAGATCACATTGATAGGAAATACCTGATTTGGAACTTGAACTCGCAAATCTCTGGCTCCAAAACCCATACTCTTTCCAACACACCAATATTGGATTCCGTGGAGGTGTCTGAGGTAGTGAAGGAGGCCAAGGAGAAGGCTGAATGGTGGAATTCATCTCCCACCCTCACTTCAACCAGAGCACCTGCTTTACAATCTAAAAAAATTAAGCATTCTACTACATTATATATTGGTATGGGAATTTGACATTAAAAATAATTTTCACATGGTTCTATAATGTGTACTGATAGATTGGTGTCATTAAAATTGAAACAATCTATCATTAGCCATCAGCCAATCAGCTGAGTGAGTTGGAAAAAACACTTGGTAGTCATAAGCATTGATTTAAGTTGATTTAATTTGGAATTTTGCAAAGTTGTGGGTAGAGAGGGCTGAGTCATCTAACCCTGGGCCAGAATCAGCTTGGGTTTTAGGGTAAGAGTTCACAAAGAGGGTCCTCATAAAGTGGATGGAACTCTTCTAGTTAAATGTTCACAACACAGTATCAGCACAGCTTGATGCTTCACTGAAGCTACCTAACAAAACCTATTCACCAACCTACACACAAGTGCCTTCTTAATATTTTAGGAGGAGGCTCCTGGGTTTTAATCTATCTGACTGATTTATTTGTTTGTTTATCCATTCATTCACCACTCATTTACTTTGGAGGTAGTACAAGAAGGTTGACTACAAGGTATTTTGCCCAGGGAGGTGAAGTCAAGCTGAAATCTTTGAGACTCACTCACTACACTAAATCAGGTTTTTGTGGTTGGTATTTGTTTTCTTGTTTAAAGGTGTGGAAACCTATAAAAATGTTTAAGTATTCTTTCAGACTTCTCACATACCTTTATTACTTTAAGGTCTGGATAGGGATGGCATTGGATGGGTGTTAAACTTTTTCCCTAGGAGCAAAAACGTAAGCTTTTCTCCATTACCCAATTTGTTTATGAATTCCTATTTGTTCCTAGAGAGCAAGAAATGTAGTTTCATGGGACAAAGATTGAAAAAAAATCACATTAGACCACAAATAGAGATGGAAGGAGATTGAACTTTGAGTGGTGAACACACAACGAAATATGTGGATAATGTATTGCAAAATTGTACACCTGAAACCTATGTGCTTTTGTTAACCAATGTCACCCTAATCAATTTAATAAAATTTTAAGAAGAAGGAAATAAAGTATATTATTTATTTGAAAAGTACCCAGGGTCAAACTTCTTAGGATATAAGAACCTAAGTGAATCCTGGGCTGCTCTCTCAGGCAACAAAGACCTTTGGCTAGCGAAGCATATATAGTGTCCTGCTTGAGAGTTTGTCTGATTTTTATTTTATTTTTATTCCAGTTGCTACATTGATGGCCGGGTGGTCAAGGTGATGGACTTCCTGAAAACTCGCCTGTTAGATACACTCTCTGACCAGATTAGGAAAATTCAGAAAGTGAGTAAAAGCCTCCTGGGAAGAAGAGGAGACAGTTTGGGGGTAAGGCAAGGCAAAGGTCACAGCAGTGTGGGAACCAGGGTGGAAAAGTAGCATAGTCCGGATTTGCACGGTCTAGAGTTACCTCTCATAGTTGATGATTGTTTATTGTTTTTCAAATTGAGGAGGGTTTGAATATAACATACCAAGGTTTAATCACTTTTATTGTTATTCTTTTACAGCTGTCCCAATTTTCCCCCTTTGCCCTCCTCCACCCATCCCACCCCCCTCTCCCACAGTCACGTCCCACACTGTTGTCCATGTCCGAAACATGTTCTTTGTAACAAATATTCTGTAATAGTTTGCTTCTAAACTGTGAGTTTCTTAAGGATAGGTTTCCTATGCTTTCTTTTTTGCAGGGGTTGATTTTGGGTTAGTTTAAGCAGAAAATGATTACATTTACTCAGTGAAATTTTGACCTGGGGAATTGGCAATCATAAGCCATATTTACACTATTTCTGAATGTCTTCGAATCAGCCAAGTAACAAGTAGAGATGTGAGTAAAGCCATACTAGTTCAGTAAAGTCCTGCATGTAGGACCTAGTAACAGGACACTTTTGGTCAACTGTTTTCACACTTGAGTACAGTCAAAGTCACCAGAGCTGGCTCACAGAGTTTCTACCCTCACTTCTGATACTCTGATTTAGTGTGTCCAGAGTGGCTGCCAGACATCTCTGTATTGAATAGTCACCTGTTAAATGACTACCCAGTGCAGGTCACATTTTGAAATATATTGGATTTGTTAATTCTGAATCATGAGGATCTTATGTCTACAATTTCCATCTACCTCTACACAATAGTGATTTCAATCTTTTGTTGCCTAGTCAGGCCTTTCTTCAGGAAATGGGGACCTTTTGAACATGTAACTATCTCTTGAGCATATTAAACAAATTTTTGCAGAAAAATAGCAACAGGTAGGTACCCATTAATATGGGATGAATAAATAAGTGAATGAACAAAAGAATGAATGGCTCGTGTATAAAATTAGCTGCAAAGTAAAATTGTATTTAGAGCAATCATAAAAAAGCACTTACATGATTGTTAAAGTGGAAGTCTGTACCCTTTTCTGCATTCATACAAATGTCATACTCAGATTATACCCTTTGGAGTCCTCTTATCACCAAAGGGTTACAGAGACTGGTAAGCCTCAGGACCTCTGGACCTTATGGATCAGTCCCCAGACTGGATCAGTCTGGGGACTGATCTGATCTCTCTCAAGGATCAGGTGTATTGGCCAGCACCCTCATCTGTCACTGCCATCTGCTGGCAAAGCCTAGGAGAGAACTAAATGACTTGTCAATGTTTGGAATTCATTCAGTGTTTAATATTTAAATATTTACGGAGTGCTTAGCAAGTACCAGACAAAGTATCAGGTGCTGGGATACAAAATGGAAAAAGACACAGTGCCTACCCTCCAGGAACTCACACTTTTAAGGTTTAACCCTTACTTCGAGGGGTTGAGAAACATATTACCTAATAACCATTGAACACTATAGTTGTCTGCGCACATTATGTTAATCCAATGTTAGGTATTGCTTTGTAAATGGAGGGGGGGGAATTTCTCTCATTTATTCATTCATTCTTCCATTCAATAGATATTTATTGAGTGCTTACTGTGTTCCAGGAACTATCCCAAGTGTTTGCATTACAACGTTGTACAAGATAGACAGGTCCTTATATTTTTTACTTTCCTGGTTTTGACTTGATCAGAGTAGAGGTAAAATGATTCAGTGGTATTGTAGCACAGTGAAGGTTCTAGCTGTGGTCATGTAATTTTTTAAGTAGAACACAAAGCTCTAAGTCACAACTAAGACAAAGGTGTTGGGAGTTATGTTCCTTTCCTTTCTCCCCATGACTCATTACCCTCCACCACTGCATACTCCTTAACCATCAGGGAAGGTTCAAAGACTGAAATTAATAAGCTAAGCTTACCTCCTAGTTTGTGTAGTAGGCAGGGCCAAAGAAACTTAAGAAAAAAGGCTCAAACTCTGTGCACAATTGAGATTCAGACCTTTAAAAACATTTCTCTTGAATGTAGAGGGCAAAGTGCAGTTGCAGGGAGGAAGAGTGGAACCTCTAAGAGAAATGACCTACATGCAGAAGGCACCTGACAGGGGACAGCCGGAACTAGCATTAGAGCCTGGAGTTACCTTTTAGCAATTTCAAATAGAATGTGCCCAGAAGTCTCCTCAGGCCTGAGTTCCTGATCTGATTATGTTTTGCTGCATAACAAATTACCCCAAAACTTAGTGCCTTAAAGCAACCATTTACTGCGCCTACGGATTACTTGGGTAAGGAATTCCCACAGGGAACTGTGGGATGACTTGTTTTTCTTCCAAGATGTCTGAAACTTTCACTGGAAGATTCAAAGGCTCTGGTGACTCAAAGGCTGGCCACTGGAATCATCAGAAGGCTCGCTGACTCATGGGTGTGGCAGTTAGTTGATGCTAGCTCTACACTAGCACCTTTGTGGGACTGATAACTGGAATACCTACATCTGAGTTCTTTCTGTTGCCTGGGCTTCCTCCCAGTTCTAAAGTCGGGAACCCAAGAGAGAGCCAGGTGGAAACTGTATCACTTTTTCCAACCTGCCCTCAGAAGTCACAGGGCATAGCTTCAACTACTATTTATTTGTTTGTTTGTTTGTTTTAAATTTTATTTAGTTATTTTTCAAGTACAGTTTTTTGTCTATTTCTCCCATCCCACCCTCCACCCCCACCCCATCAACTATAATTTATTGAGGCACTGAACAAGACTGATAGAGAGTCAAGGGGAAAGGAAATAAACTCCACTTGCTGGGGGGTGGGGGAGTGGATGGCAAGATTCGGGAAGAGTGTATAAGACCAGAAATATTTTTGCAGTTATTTTTGGAAAATGCTGTCTGCCAAAGTTCTATCATCCATGTTGCATTTAGTATCCCATCAGTTATTTCCCTCACTCGTTTTCTTTTTCCAGCTCTCTTTACAAAACTGCTGCCAGATATTGCCTTACATGGGTATCTGCTGGAGGTGTTACAGGATTGCAGATTTCCTGAGACTTGATGCCTGGGGTAGGCTCTCCACTGACTGCAGCAGCCTAAACCCAGTTAGGGACTTCAGGCTGAGTCTCTCTCACCACAGCCCAGAATGTGCTAGCTACTGGCCTGCCCTGGGGATATGCGGGCTGGGAGAAGGCCAGAGAAGGATCACCAAGCTTTGCCAGTTGAAAAGTTGCTTTTCCTCTTCTTAAAGTCCCCTGTGGGTAGGAAGGGGGTATAGGAATTTAGAGTCCAAGGTGCAAACCGAGGCAGCGTGGCCAAACTGCTTTCTTGTGAGCCTCCAAAATCAGTTCAGAGATGAGCCAAGTAAGATTTTAATATGTTTGTACCTGGAACCCACATCCAAAGCTAGAAATGAAATCTTTGCTTTTTTCTGTACTTTGTTTGGGAAGTTCAGAGAAGTCCTAATAACCTCCCTCCCCACCTTCCCCCAGGCTCACAGTGATAGAAAAGGGGTAGATTTCCCACCAAAATGGATTTATACCGGATCGGTTAGATAAATCAGTAGTGAGGCTGTCTAAATAAGAAATAGGATAAAGGATTTGAAGTCTGGTGGCTTGGGCTGGAGTTCAGGCTTAGTTGTGTGACCTTGGAACATTATTTTTCTGATTCTATTTCTTTATCTGTAAAATGAAGATGCTAAGAACGCTATCTTCCTTCCCACTTGGGAAGATTAGGAAGGTCATGTATAGCCCTGTTTTGTTCATTGCCATTGAATGCTAGTTCTTAATGCCATTATTATTGTGGTTTCAATTATTGTAGTTATTTTAAATAAATTATGTAAGTGGAGAAGATTCATGCTACCTTTATCCTCAACTTTTTTGCTCTTTTCCTCTTTCCTCTTCCTTTGAACCCTGGAGAGTATGATAGGTAATATTTTTGGCACCTGAAATGCAGTAACTCAATTGCTAAAAACAGCTGTGGTTTCAAAATTTGGACTGCCACTTACAAGAATTATCAGTTTTCTGAGAAGTGGGCAAATTCCTATAATATGAAAATCTGCATGATGCTTTTGAAAGATAAACAGAGACAGTGTTTGGACAACCCGTTTCTTTGGCTGAACCACACTCTCTCTCCCTGACATTAGAATGAGGATAATCATCTGTACTTTGGGAGATCAGTCAAGGGAAAACAGTTGAGAATCTAACAATGCAGGCAAGAGTCAGATGAGAAAGAAAGAGATGTTTAGGATACCGTACAGATGGTATAGTGTGGATAGCTGGGCCGACTCCAAAACAATGACGTAAGGACCAAGAAGAACCACTTTGGCTTAAGTCACTTGGACTCAGTGATTTGTGTCTTCATCTCCTAGAGGAATCAGAGGAGGAAATAACACTTTTTGTTATTATTTTCAGGAATTCAATAAGCACAGGAAAGAGTTGGTGAAATCCCAGTCATAAGGGAAGTATTTCCAAGAATACTGTCTGTATGATTGCATCTTAAATACTAAATAAACTGACAATTTGCTTCCCTAATAGTTGAAAATTTCCTTCTTCCTCTGTCCTTCTTTCTCTCTTCTCTTTTATTCCTTCATTTATTAGTTGGTTATAACATTCTTAGTATTTTTCAGACCCTAAGGATAAAATGTAAGCAAGACTGATATGGTAGTTGTCTTCATGGACCCACGACCTACTGGGAAAATAGTTAAGAAAGCAAACAATGATAATAAGATGCAATGTCTCCTATAATATGGACAAGATACTATAGGTGCCCATAGTGGGAAATATCTACCTTCTAAAGGAAGAGAAAGATAAGAAGTCCTCCCAGAGAGAGTAACATTCAGGCTAACGCCTACAGGACAGACAGGTTCTTATTTATACTGTTCTCAAAGTGTGAGCAGAGGACTCCTGGTTATAGATGTGTATGGTAGAAGGTGTGGTTTATATGGTTCATGATATAACCATGATCATGCTTTTGCTAATAT